TCGGTGTACTTACACTTTCAAAATATTTTAAAAAATTTTGCTGTCTAACTTACAGTCATAAGTGGCTTTGATCACATCTTTTCAAAATTTCATGCTTCCTAACCCAACCAATTGTAAAAGTGACAAATTATTCCGTAGAATCCCGGGTTGACCTTGCAAGGTGGACCCGGATCCAAAGATACACAATTTATATATTAAATGTTCACAATTTATCTTTTAAAAATTTATAATTTGTGATCACTATATATTTGTATATTGTATTTACAAATTTTTAAAACTTTGAAATACAATTTATACTCTAGATATTCACAATTCTAGTACTAGAGTACACATTTTAAGATAATGTCGACATTGCAAGGTAAACCTTGGACCAAGGTATAACAATTGGTTAAGAGCACATTTGATTTAAATTTTTTCCAAAATGTATAGAGTTCAACCCAAGTAGTCCAATCAACCAAGCATGCCCGCATTTTTAACTTAATTGGTTTAAGATTATTGAGTACATCTTATTTAAAATTTCTTAAAATTTTGTACAACCTAACCCATTAAGTAATTAAAAAAAAAGTGATCGGTGAAATTAACCATACTAGGCCGGTAAGCCCTACTTTTTTACTTTATACTAGTTTCACGTTTTATTTGATTAATGATTAGTAAAAGGGGCGTACACTATTTTATTATTTCCCTTCTCTTATTCTTATTCAATAAAAAATAAGTACTTAATAGTGAGAGTAGATCTTTCTTGTCATAAAATATTTCAATCATAAACTTCCTTCCATGCTTCCAATACAAGACAACTTTTAGACGACAAAGTTACCATTAAAAGAAACGAACGAAAAGCACAAACTAAAAATAGAAACTAACATCCTCAAACAACAAACACCCCATCCATCTTCACTAACGAAAGTCTTTTACAAATTGTTTCAAATCATAGGACCAAATGGCGGCGGCACATTAGAGTTTCCAACTGGGTGGTTATGTTCGGGGGACGGCCCAGACGGCGGCACGATTCCTCCCTTTGGCTTCATCGCACCATAAGGAGATATCCAATCATGATTCTCCGGCGACAATCCCACCGTCATCCTCCCGCCGTTTGCCAGCCGACCAAACAAACCAAAACCCAGCAGCAAAAGAAGGAGAAGCTTCGAAACACTGAATTGTTGCAAAGACATTTTTACGAACAGGAAAGGGATAAGCTTCAATGGGGTATGTTCTTTGTTTGAGATTGATAAAAACATTATCGTAAAGGAAGGTGTTTTATAGTGCAATTTGGAATTGGATACAAACCAACACTTCGAATTCTTAAAAAAAAAAAAAAAAGAGGGAAAATTTAAATGGGTGTGTACAAATTAAAGGGCAGATTTTTCACTACATTAATTAATTGTCTTTTTAAGAACATTTGAGTTATTCTAGAAGAGATTGTTGGCTTTAACAGTAATGTTAATATTGCTTTTTTATGTAAATACACGCATGCCAAGAAGCCACCATAATAACACGTATGATTTACGAGGAAGTGATAATGAAGTTAAATGCTAATGTATTTCCAAGAAGCAAGAAGTAAGCTTTCTCCAATGTATTGATTTTATTGGTGGTAAAACACACAAAAAAAAAAAAAAAAAAAAAAAAAACAGAATAGAAATTATGACACACACAATTTTATTTTATTTTTATTAATTATAACATGTCGTGTAAACAAGGAACCAAAAATAAAAACAAAAAAAAAAAAACAAAAAACAAAAAAACAAAAAATAGGTGTCATACAGTCATATAGAGAATAATAATAATAATGGTGTGGGTCTGGATCAGGGTACTTACCACATCAACCACCTGATACAAGACGTGACAATTTGCATCACGATCAATTAATTAACACATCATAGACATTAAATCAAATATAAAAATAAGGAATTAGTATTTTGCTTTAATGTATTGTGTGTTATTAACAGGTTAACCCAATAACCCGTTAAAATTTAATTAAGTTTTAACAGGTCATTAATTGAAACCTAGTATGGTTACTAGGTTGGTAAAAATTAAATACATATATAATATATGGTACATTAATATATGAAAAATTAATCAATTCTACTCCATAATTTTACAATGGTACATGTAAACGTTGATAACTTCAATTTTTTAACATGCTGACAATTAAATTTTATTTCCATAATTATCCCATTTTCCAAGACATTTATATTTATATAGAAATGTAATGATTCAACAAACTAAATTCAGGTGCGAAGGAGTTTAAAAATTCACTACCTACGATCTTCATAAAAATATGTACTGAAAGTCGCAACAATTTTTACAAGAAGACATAACAATGTGTAGTGGAAGGCACAAAAGTGTGAAGCAATTATTCAACAAACTAAATTCAATATAAGATTTTCAACACAGTACAAATCATAAACGTAGAAGAAATACAAGATTCAACTCAAATTAGTAATTAGTTCAAAATCAACTACTCTTTAAAAAAAATCGTCACATTCGATCTTAAAAAATATGCACTAGAAGGCACAACAATGTGCACGGAAAAGAACTTTAAAGATGTGAACCAATTATTGAAAACACTAAATTAAAATATTCAATACATACAGGATTTTCAACACAAATCATAAACGAACACAAATCATAAAGAAGTAATACAAGATTCAACTCAAATGAGTAATTAGTGATTCATTCAAGATCTTCCAAAAAAAATAAAATCTGACACCTACTGTCTTCAAATTTGTACACTGCAAGACACAACATTGTGCACTAGAATGCAACAATGAACACTGTACTACTGGAATGCAGAACAATGTGCACTCAAAGAGAGAAACTGTGTGCTCTAAAAACTACAACAATGTGCACTCGGAGAAGGAAAAATGTGCACTGGAAGAAGGAAAAAAATGCACTGAAAAAAAAAATAATAACTTACACAAAATTATTATAATACCAACGCGTTTTTTTTTTTTTTTAAATATCTTCATTCTGGACCCTTGATCTAAACTGGATCAATGAATGATATTAAATCCTCTTTTTCACCTAAGGCAACTTTTGCACATGATTCGTAATGTGTGTGTGTGTGTGTACGCGTGTGCGTGTGCGTGTGTGTTGGATCAAATGATGACAAGTCCTTAGCATAGAAATAAGAAGCAATCTTAGTCTTACATTTGAAAAAATCAGACGGAACAGATCAAGTTTAAAAAAATATGGCGGCATTTTCATAATTATCACCAACTTTATTATGCAAACTTAAATACTGAAATCTGCAATTCTCATACTTTTCCAGACTTGCACATTTAGTGTTAACATTTTGCATATTTAGTTTTAAAAGATTGCATTTGCAAAATTGCAAAAATGCATTACACTTAGAGTATCGATATTAGAGTTTATGACTGAGTTTTTTTGTTTTATTTTGTTTAGTGGTTCACTTTTTACTGCTTAAGATCTAGCATTTAAGATTTAGATTTAAATTTTAGTTTTTTCATTGATTTTATAAAATTTACCAGGTTTACATATTTAGTTGTTAAAGGTTGCATATTTAAGGAGTAAATGACATTTTTGGTCCTAGACTTATAGTGGCTTGGACAATTTAAGTTCTTCATAAAAAATTTTGCCATTTTTTGGACATACTTATTGTGACGATGACAATTTTGGTCATCTGTCTATTATGTGGTTAGTTAACCGTTTAAATGAGGAGTATTTGTGTCAATTCAACTTATTCTCCTTCATCCTTAGATCTGATGGTCTCAAAGCCATGAAAGTCTATGATCCTGTGACTTCAGAACTAGACAAGTCAAGGGCACCTGTCAATCTGCGGGAAGAAGAAGAACGCAGAATGCAGCGAAGTGAACTAAGGATGGACGACACTGAAGACAGCCGTGTCATTCTCTCCGGACAGTCATCTTACTGGCTGCGGTGGTATGCTGTGCAACCAAGAGGGCAAATGGATTGGGGGCTTCAGCTGCATGATGAAGGCTAACAACGTAAAATAAGCTGAGCTGTGGGAACACAGGGTTCAGAAACTAAGCATCAGAACTGATTCACAACAAGTAGTTGATTGGTTCAATGGTGGCCTTAATCCACTAGGCCACTGTGCGATGCTCCTTAATTGGAGCAGAGAATGTCTTGAGAAAGACTGGATGGTAACCGTGGACTACACACCACGCGAGAATAACAGTGTCGCTAACTGGCTTGCCAAGGAAGTGCCCAGAAGACGGCAAGAGTGGATTGGGTACCATTCTCCACCGACTGCCATGAGTGAGAGTCTGGGCATTTTAGTCCTAGACTACCATTATTGATTGCCTTAGCCCAGAATCTACGTGTGATCAGAACGAAATTGGACAAAATGAAGAAAATAGGAAAATGCTTGAAGCATAGATTTCTTCTATGAAATCAGAAATGGAACATTTGAGAGCTGCTCTAGAAGCAGTTGAGATCAGATACAGTGAAGAGCAAACTTGAAGCACTTTAGAGATCAAGGGTGTGTATGAGTTGATGGAGCAGATGAAGTCCATTTCAGGTAATAGGGAGACCGTGCTGAAAGAGGAGGTAGTACAGACAACTTGAAAGTTGAAATCGAGGGGTTGAAAGCAAATTAAATCTGATGGATATATTTATGTATGAATTTTCAATTTTCTCACTGTTATAAAACTGTGTGAAAAACCAGTAAAAGTGAAAGCGGTGCGGGGAGCGGAAGAGCCCGGAGACGGCGAAAGGGTTAGTCCGATGGCAAGAAGTATTGGCTTCAGAGATTCAATCTCTTCTCCAAGTACGACGAGGGCATAAAGATGGATGAAGAGGAGTGGTTTTCGAATCATTAACTGATGGGGGAAAAAAATTAGTGTGGGATTCGAAATAGGGAAATCCCTAAAATGGGATACCAATAAGGGAAATTGTCTTTTAGAAAGGCGACATTTATCTTTTGGAAATTCGGATCTATGTTTGGCGACATTCAGTATAATACCGTATAAAGTTTAAAGTTTGTTATATACCGTATAAAGTGCCTTGCTCGCGGGTCTCTTCTCCCCCGACGCCGGAAATGGCGCGCAACGCCGACGACGGTGCCTGGGATCTGCTCTACGCCACCGCCGGCGAGGTGGTGAGGATGAAAATGATGGAGGAAGCTGCGGCGGCGCTATACCAGAGCAAAAATGGAGTCTGGGCTCCTCCTAGGAGGCCCAGTCCCGTCACTGTTCCTTCTTACAAAACCTCTACTCCCCAAAATCCGCAGCTCTCTACTTATCAGCAGTTGCAGCTGGCGCAAGTAAGTTTTCATCCATTATTGTTCTTAGTAAGCTTCTGGGTCACCTAAATGCTAAATTTGTTCTTAAAAATTGGCAGTTTCAGCGACTGAAACAGCTCCAGATGGTGAAGAACCAGCAAGGAAGGAGCATTGGGCCATATCAGGCGGTGAACCAAAGCAGAATCTCCAAGAACGGCGGTGGAGGTGTGGGATTCCAGCCGCCGTCTGCTTGGCCGACCCTGCAACAGTCTCAGCAGCAGCTCCCTGGGTCCGGGATGAGCGGTGTTTCTTGGAAATTCGGCCGGCGGCGGCGCAAAAAGGGAGTGTTCCGGTAAATACGGTGGTGCACCGTATTTGACAAATACAAATGGTATATCAACTTTCCCTTAGGCGAGATGTGAAAACCCCAATCTCGCCTATGGGAAAGACAATTTCCCTCTTTCGTAAACCATGCAACACATTTCCTTGTCAGGGATCCCACGTTTAGATTCTTCTTCACCGGCAAAATCACCCGTGGTTTTCCATCACGCCGGAAGAAATCGCCGCCAAACAAGCCGACCGTTCTTTGGCGGTGCCGTCGTCATCGACGGTAACACCATTCAGTTTGTTAGATGAAGGAGAATAAGCTGAATTGACACAAATACCCCTCATTTTAACGGTCAACTAACCACATAATAGACGGAGGACCAAAATTGTCCTCGTCACAATAAGTTTGTCCAAAAAAGGGCAAAATTTTGTATGGAAGACTAAAATTGTCCAAGCCACTATAAGTCTATGACCAAAAATATCTTTTACTCCATATTTAAGTGTTATAGTTTGCATAGTAATGTTGATACTAATTACAAAAATGCCACTGCATTTTTAAAAAAGAATAAAAAATCGATCAGATCCATCAAATTTTTACAGATGTAAGGCTGAGATTAGTTCTTATTTCTCTCTTATGGTATTGTTTTCACAGGATCCTTAGCATTATATATATATATATATATATATATATATATATATATATATATATATATATATATATATATATATATATATATATATATATTTTGAAAGACAAATGAATTAGATTGCATTAGCCACAAAGGGCTCAATAAACGAAGGAGGTATATCTCTCCAGAATGTTCGTCCTGCTATAGCAGATACATGCTTAGATAAGGAGTGCACCACATGATTGGCCTCCATATTAACAAATAAAACCTGAGATCCGGGTAAAGCATTAAATAGCCGATTACAAGATAAAAGAATGAATCTAAAATAGCTACGAAACAAACTAACATGACTAAGACTTGAAACCAAAACTGCTGAGTCAGTGTAGATTCTGCCACCTGAGTACCCGTTATCCTTCAACCAGGAGAGGACTTCACACATTGCCATAGCTTCCGCTAAGAGGGGATCATATGGACACGGCAAGGGTCCATTAGCCGCTGCCACAAAGGAGGAATCGCAATCCAAGACTACAAAACCAAAAGCCGCGGTATGTTGGGGGCCGTGAAAACCGGCGTCAATATAACAATGGAACAAGGGCGCCGTGGTAACAATTTGTGCATGTGTTGAAACGGTTCGGTTGCTGTAATCGCCAACATGGCTCTGCTGACTATCCATCCACGAAGACCATTGCGCCAAGTGTCGCCTCATAAGCGAAATCGGCAATGGCAAGACATACTCCCATACTGCCGAGTTCCTAGCAGCCCAAATGCTATGGAGAATGCCACAAATTTTACCTTGTAGCTCACGTGTATATCCTGTTGCACCGCCAAGCCATTCCTCCGTCCACTGTAAAAAATTCCTGTTGGCAAAAGGGGGAATTTGAATCTGAGAAAGTTGCCAAACATTAATAGCATATGGGCACGAGCAAAATATATGCATAACACACTCCTCAACTAAGCCACAAGACGGACAAATATTAATTATATCGACCCTCCTATTTATCAAATTATCAAGAGAGGGCAATATATTCAAAAGGGCTCTCCATAGGAACACCTTCCATTTGGGAGGAACCTGCAGCTTCCAAACATTATTCCATACAGGTGAAGGCTTCGAATTCAAGAATCCCAACCTTCTATAACCATCTTTAATTTAACCGAATAACATCCCCTTATATCCCCTTCCCAATACCATATATCCTCATAATCCATACTCACAGGCAATTTCAAAATCAGCCCTGTAGCTATATATATATATATATATATATATATATATATATATATATATATATATATATATATATATATATATAGGATCAAATGAGGTCATCTTTCTAAATGAGGTTTGTGGTCAAATATTGACTCTTGATTTTGGTTAGAGAGAGAGAGAGAGAGAGAGAGAGAGAGAGAGAGATAATTCCAGGAATGGTCCCACTATTGATATTCATCTTTACTAATCTTCGTCCTCGACTTTCAACATGATCATAAATAATCCCTTGACTATTGATTTTGTTCCAAATTTGGTTGCTCAGTTAAATATCAATTTAATAAACATTAAATTTAAGAATAATAATGTAAAATTACTTTGTTGTTGAGATGGACAAATTGAGTTCATAAATTTAATATATTGAGTTTATCATTGTGAAAAACTAAATCTTTTACACTATTACCCTTAAATGTAATGTTTATTAAAATGATATTTAACTATAGGACCAAATTGGTAAAAAATCAATAGTCAAAGGACTACTTATGGCTAAATTGAAAGTCCAGTACAAAAATTAGTAAAGATTAATAGTCAAATGACCATTTATTGTCCAATTGAAAGTCGAAGCATAAAAAGTTGGTAAATAACAATAGTCAATGGACAATTCTTGAAATTATCTCAATCCAGTGGAGCTAAAATAACACGGTGAGAATGAGTTGCTCTACTCCGGTTGTAGAAGAAGGTACGTTGGCAGTTTTACTTATGTGTTTATGTTCTGTTTTTTGTTTATAAAGGCGTTTTACGAACCACTGTCGTATGAAGTCGACGAACACGGAGGATTGGTGCAAATTTTCGTTTGGTGGGTTAGGGTAAATGGGTGTTGGTTTATGAATGTGAATACACACCATGGGGAGTTGGTGGGTGCAATAGATGAAGACGTAGGATGTTGGGTGATCGTGATGGTAAATGGGTGTTGGTGTGTGCACTGTGTCAAAAGAGTGTGCAAACGCTAACCATTCGCAGATAGAATACAGAGCGTAGAAAAAATGAATTCCATATTTGTGCAATATTTCGTTTGGTGTGTTAGGGTACATGGGTGTTGGTGTATGAATGAGAATAAAGACCGTGGGGAGTTGGTGGGTGAAGTGGTTGAAGACGTATGTTGTTGGGTAATGGTAAATGGGTGTTGGTGTGTGCAATGTGGAGCAAGACAGTGTGCAAATGCAAACCACTAGCTAAAAGTGAACGTGCTAGAAAGGCGGTAGGGGAGGCAACCGCACTCGGGTGCAAACGTAGGACAGTGATAAAAGATGAGTTGTAATGAACTTTGTGTATGATGTTTTGATGTTTGAATTTCTTTATTGGGAGCAATTGATACTAATATCGTATGAGGTGTAATGAACTTTGCAGAGGATGTATACCTAGGGTTGTGGGTTATGGTAAATGTGTGTTGATGTGTGCAATACCAGGCAATACAGTGTGCAAACGTAATAGACTAGTAAAATGAGAAATGGCAGGTATAGTTGGTAGGGGAAGCGCACGCACCCGGGTGCAAACATGGGAGGATGATATAATATGTGTTGAAATGAATTTTGTGTAAGCGATTGTTATTTTTTGTTTTGTTTTTGTTTTTGTTTTTGTTTTTTATTTTGTTTTTTTTTTTTTTTTTTGTTTTTGTTTTTGTTTTTTTGTTTTTTGTTTTTTGTTTTTGTTTTTTTTTGTTTGTTGGGGTGTAAGTGGGGCTAATATGGTATGAGTTGTATTGAACTTTGTCTAGACGAGTGCAATAGTTAGTAGGGTAACAAGATTATAGCGTGGTAATGTTTTTTATGTTTGCACGTGTGTGCAAGTGTATGTATAAATAGTAAACCATGGACATGAAATATCATCCCAAACTTAAATTTGTTTCTTTTTTGTGTTACGAAGGGCAATTTATATCCTACATCACGGCGCGCGTTGCACTATGCGCCCAGATGCAAAACGACATCGTTTTAATTTATTTATTTTTTTTTTGAAATTTCTCGCCCCAGTGAATGGCAGTAGTTTTTTCTTTAAAAAAAAACCGTTGTTCAAGAATGTACATAATGTTATACTAGAATACACATAATTGTATACATGAATGTACATAATTATATAACAAAATATACATACTCTTTTTAAAAGATAATACACATAATCTAACATATAATACATAATAAACATAAACTTTTAACATAATACACATCAACTATTAACATAATACACACAAATTTTCTGATTCGGATGTACATAATTGTATAAAAAGAATGTACATAATTGTATAAAAAATGTACATAACTGTATGAACCAATACACATAACTGTGTGAGCAAATACACATAATCCCAGCAACTTCCTACCGCGCCTCCCAAAACGACGTCGTTTTGGGAGGCGCGCGGCGCACAGTGCTATGCGCGCCGTGGTGTAAGGTATAACGATTGGTTACGAAGCATGTGGGCCCGAATGTAACAATGTGCTCGAAACATGTGATATGGAAATTTCTCCTGGAAATACAAAGTATAGGATAACAAAGTGTGATGAGACATTGAAATAAGTAGTTGGGCAAAAGTTTAAGACTCTTGAAGATGGCATAGAGTTTTATCTACAGTACGCTGCAGTAGTCAGAAATGGAAGAGTTGGTCTAGGCCCAACTCCCCCACGGCCCTTCTTTGACACGCGTTAAACTTTTTCATCGGAACCACCAATTTCATAGCTGAGGCTAGGGGTGGAAATAGGCCGAGCCGAGTCGAGCTTTAGAAAATTAGGCCTGGGCCTGTTACAAAAATCTAAGGCCTGGGCCTGAGCCTGAACCTGTATGTAGGCTTTTTGTTAGGCTTAAGCATGAGCCTACAATTAGCCTGGCCTGACCTTAAGCCTTTTTAAAAGCCTGTTTTGAGCCTATTTAAAACCTAATATGTAGGTCATTAAAAAGGCTTCAAAGTAAGTTCTGCTTTGAGCCTATTTAAAACATATATATTAAGTATTTTTAAAAGAGTTAATACCCATTTTTGTCCCTCGATTATTAAGTAATGCCTAATTTAATCGCATATTATTAAAAGTATCCAATTTAGTCCTCTGACTTGTAAAATCATACCTAATTTGGTCCTTCGTTACAATTGCCATCCATCCACCGTTATAGAGATGGACAAAAAGTCATTTTATCTATAGTCGAGGGACCAAAATGG